GCTACCGGTGGTTCTTTAGGGAGGGGGGAAGGGAGTATGGGCGAAGGATCGAGGTGGGGTCAGGCAAGATTGGCTTACGTGTCCTATGGGTAGCCAGCCCCTGGCCAGCTCTCTCTGTCTGTTGCGTCTGGCCTGAAGGCCTGACGAAGATTCTGTGAAACTTTTAGCTCATTATTTAGAAGTTGTTTGGAATGTTTACACACATGTGGGACCCATTCAAAGAGATCGTAAATATGGGAATTATAGTAAAGTATATTACCGACTCTGGTTCGGAACAGACGAACTCAAAAAGTTTCTTCGAATTATCTTGCCATATATTCCTGTTCAAAGTATGCTAAGAAAAACGATGTTGCTTTACAAAGATGCTCCTCTAATTGCTGCTGTTGCACCCAGGTGTGCATTGTGACCATTGCTTTTGTGTTGCCTGGGGGCATGAGGTAAAGAAGCACAGTGTTGACCTGAGACAGCAGTGACCTTCTTGACCTTCTTTAGCCAGCCAGGCTTTCCATAGTATCGGCGCATCCTCGTTGATTTCTCCCATTTTACACTTGGGGTCAATCCATATGTTAGAGGAGGCCTCTAGTGGCCCCTCCCTTTGCCGTGGATCTGTCATAGATCCCAGATCTTCCCTCAACCATCTCCTTACATTACCCCTTATGGCTTTTGCAATTTCCGTTTTAACTTGCAGAAAGCCAAAGCCAAATCCTCCTCTTTGTGCCGAGCCTCTGGCCCTCCATATGGCCATCAATAAGGCGAGCCTTGTTAGCTTGAACTTTGAACAGGTTATGTTGGAAGGTGGTTCCTCCCTTTTTCCCTCAGGATGAGTTTGATGCGCCATGGGAAGACCGATTCTGTCAGTTCTTGCCACAGTGTCCCACCATGGGTAGAACTGCAGTGCCATTGGACACTGTAGCAGACAATGTTACAGTGATGCTACTCTCTTTTGGGAGGAATGGCCGCAGTAGGAGCAAATCGGAGACGATTGACCCTTTCGTTCTAGGTTGGACCCCGATACTATCCAATCTGCCGTTGGAAGGGAAGGATGTAAAATCTGCGATTGGAGGGCCCTGTGAGACGCAGGCATCATGTTACATGTACAGATATGCAATGTACGTAATAACCGAGGAACTGCAATGTGATGAAAAGGACTGAATGGACAGTACAGTGCGAGTAGAATCTCGACAGACAATGTGCATTCTCATACATACAAAAGGTGCTGAATAGCGCAGGGAAGACTTTGATACAAAGACTGACCTGACAGGACTGACCTCATTTACGTAGTTCAGAGTAGCGAAGCAGAATGCTAGAGTGCTACTAACTAGCCCAATCAATGTTTGAACTCAGACTAAACATGCATGGTATCCATCACCAAGTGGGAAGGAGCCTGGCGCTGTACACAGGAAGAAAGCGCCAGGTCCAGACATACACAGACGAAGAGATAAGGATCAGACGAAAGGAGGAAGAAGGATGGGAATGTCGTTAACACCAAGTCTTGGTCACCAATCCCAAATGGTCCCTCGTTGCCATGTCTGAACCCCCAAAAGTCGAGTCTGGATCAAATGTCACCAAGCTCTGTATCTCTTCTCTCATAGTCTGCAGATGCAGTGAAGTCAGAAGTTGAGAGGGAGAGAAGAGATGGTGGACTGAGAAGAGGAAGACGAAGAACTCTCTCTCTCTCTCTGTTACGAACCAGATACTAACCTGTGATATTGGCGCTGTGCTGCAGGTACCTTGAAGACGAAGCTGGAGCAACGGCGCTGCAGGTAGGTACCTCTGGCCTCCGCCCAAGCTCTCTCTCTCTCTCTAGTACTACCTAGCTATGGCGCCCAGCGCTGGAGACTACAGCTACCTACTGCGCCCAACGCTGAAGACTACAAACTAACGCTACTACTACTACACTGCAGCGCTCCCTCCAGAGTGCTGCTCCCGAATCCTGAAGACTACAACTGCCGACTGCCTACCNTACACTGCAGCGCTCCCTCCAGAGTGCTGCTCCCGAATCCTGAAGACTACAACTGCCGACTGCCTACCTCGGAAGTGCCTGGGAAGTCCTATGTACTACCTCGGCCTGCCTCCTGACTACTGGAGGGCGAGTCAGGCCGAGGAGGCAGCTCTTGCCAATGCCRAAGTGTGCCARGGGCTGGCGTGCAGCAGCCTGCTGAGGCTGGCGTGGGAAACAGACTAATAATAGTCTGTTCCCGAAACCCTGGTTCGGTGCCTGAGTTTCAGGGCCGGTCGTTCTGATGAACGACCGAGAATGGCCCTTCGTTTCAGGCTAAAAAGGCTATTGCCATTTTTAGTCTGAAACGACACAGGGATAGGCCCTGAACTTCAGGCTTTCGGGCTGAGCCGACAGGGGGCCTGTAAGCCTTGGATTTCAGGCTTTCGGCGTGAAATTCAGGCTTTCGGCCTGAAGGATGCAGGCCTGCAAAATGGCCTGCGTGTGCACGCGCAGCATGTAACACATCATGTGTGAGTAGGATGACCTCGGAAATGTTTTTCCACATCTGTCCCTTGCAGCGGGGAGTCATGTGCCCATCTTCCTCTTATGATAGCGGGGTATGATGGGTGCACTTTGAGGGTGCACCTATAGCCCTCTTTCACTGTGTATTGCCAAATTGGCATAGGCTCCCTTGAGGATTAATACCATTTTCCCAGGTGAAATGGAAGAGTGCCATAGGGGAGTTGTTATCGCGTTGTCGGTGCGAATACCCTTACGAGGGTATCCACCCTGGTTTTTGCAAGTGACAGAAAGGCTCGGTTAGCCTGGATTTTGGGTGCCCGTGCGGGAGGATGTGAGGGTCGCCCACGCACGGGCAAAGGTCTGCCTGGTCCTGGTAGGGAGTACGTGGGCGCGCAATGTTTAAGGCGCGCGTGTGATTCTTTTCATTAAGCGGGCGGTCGGGGTAGCCGACCGACCCGAATCAATTGACGGGTTTGATTAGGGGGTGAAAGCTCGCCTTGATAAGCACGTGCGACCGGTGGTGGCGCGCAGGATGGCGCGCGGGATGGCCAGGCCACGGGCTGGTAGGCCGGCGCGGGCATCTAAGGGTCGTAGGTGCCAATAGGGGCTGACAGGATGGCCAGCGTGGAGTTTTGACCTGGGGCACCGCGCGATACCACCTTGTATGGGAAGCCGCACCTGCTAGTTACAGGCTTGGGCTTAACCCTATTGGTTACAGCATCGGATTGGTATGCAGCGGACGCAGGGATCGAGGCCACCAGCAGGCAGTAAAGGAGCGGAGGAGCACGGAGGAAAGGCTGGAGGGGTTGATGGGCCGGAAGGACTATCCCCCTCGCCTTTTGCAAGTATGGGGGCTATGGTTTTCACCCGACTACGGCCCGTTTTGTGGGTTGTATCTTTATATATGTATAATCTTTTTTTATTTCGAATTTTTGTTCCTCACGCCCGTATGTGAGCGCGAAGCTGCAACAATACACCCGAAAGCTGCGCGAAGTGGGCCGAGGGGTGAGACCAAACACGAGGGGGCGGTGGCCGTCGGTAGGCGAACCAAGTATGTTGAGGGGTTGAACGCTGCTTAGCTTGCGAAGAGCCAGGGCCTGTCGCTGCGTAAGGATTCGGGCCGATGCGAGAGGACCCGCGTGCCCGCTATGTGAGGGTGATGACGAAGAGGACGAGAGGCTTCGGCAGGAGGAGGACCGGAGAGCGGAACAGAGGGCCAAGAAGAGAGGGGCTCAGGAGGGGCAGAGCCGAGTCTGCACGAATGCGTGCCAAAAAGGAAGAAGTACGCAGTCCGGCTGGAGGAAGGTTTTGACGTGGAGCGGATGGTAGATAAGCTCCTGGAGGGCCATAACGATTTGATGAATTTAAAGGACATTTTGGCCTCGGCACCAAGGCTCCGTGGCGAGCTGAAGGGGCGGCTCTCGCGAAGGTTAGTGCCCAATGTCCACCTGAGCTCAATTCTGCCCAGGGAGATAGAGTGGACAGAGGCGGGCACCAGGATGGACTGGAAATGTGTGGCGTGTGGGTTGGTGGACTTGAAGGTGAGGGACCAGCC